TATTAACAACTAATACATATTTATATAGACAATCTTCAGATTATTAATCAAAGTACTCATGCTACCGTGCAACGCACGGTTCCCATACTAGTCAACATAAAAACAGTTCCATTTCAACGTTTTAAATCTTCTGAAAATGTCAACTAATTTATGGTCACAATACACTTTTATACAATTAATTTCAAATAATTCCGTAAATCTTGAAACTGGAAAAATATAAAGATGTAAGCCAATTTTGAACTTTTATTTTTCCTACTTTCTTTTGACAATGCAAATTGTGTCATGTTTGAAAATTTATCAACTCATGCTATATTTCAAGAGTCATTCAACATAATTGACTTGTATTAACAAACGCTAATAAGTCTAAAATGGATAACAATTCACCAATAACCAGACGTGGTACTGTGAAGACCCGAGTGGGGTCTGTGCACCCACTCAACTTATTTTCACAAGTAGAATTGTTTTGATAAATTCTATTCATACCCGTATGTGAATGAGATGTGGGTAAAAACTAGGTATATGCGAGTGAAGGGGTATGAATAGCAACCCTCGTTCTGTTTACGATGTGAAAAGTACACTCGTTAAACTTTGAGGGTGCTCCAGGTATTAGAATATACAAGGACCATCAACTGAAAAAAGGTCTTTCGAAACCAACCAAAAAACTAAAAAAGTCTTTCATAATTAACCAGGAAATTTAAAAATCCCAAACCAACCAATTTTTTTTAAAATTCATTGAAATGGTGTAATTCAGCAAAAAAAAACACATCGGACGGCTTTATGGGGTCCTTGATCCACCTAAAAGATGTACCCACTTGGCAAAAAAAAAAAAATCGGTCTTCTGCTGCTAATAACATTTCTATTATTTGTCGTTAGATTCTAAGAAACGACCCACGATCAAAAACATGTATCATTATCCATTTTATGTTCGTGTGAGAGGTTCAAATAAGAAAGTTAAATATCGTGAAAAAAATAAAAATGAAATCATGTGAGACTTATTTAAAAAATTAATTTGAAGATAGATATATATTTAATTAATAGATGATTATTTCTGTTGGTAAGCATCACTTTCATATTTGTTACCCAATCAAATGCCAACAAATTAATTCTCAAATTATTTATGACTCCCAATTTGGACACCAAATGCATTTTTCAATTAATATGAAATAAATATATATGAGATATTTAAAGCATATATATATATATATATATATATATATATATTGGTATGATAAATATAATCTTAACAATTTATTATATCGGGTTTTATGGTATGGAAAACAACAAATGGTCCTACTGATATAGAAACTTTACGTGTTTAAATTATATTTTTAATCACGTGAAGCGTTTTCTTTATATCATATCATAACAACTCTTGACACACACAACTAAGTAATGAACTTTAATACTAAGGCCAACGACTATTTGATATAATTTTTTTGTTTCGTGTCCTTTTCTATTTGTTTCTTTCCTTTGTCGTTTTCATGGATTCGTTTGATTTTGAACTTGACATGGTCTTAGAAACATGCTTACCATTCTATATCTTGTCTGTCTAATAAATACTATATACTATTTTAACCAGATCTATAAAAAACCAACAATCACAATATATGATACATCTATCTGTATATATATACATACCCACTTCTCACCTAACTCTTAAATACCCTTCAATTGGAGAAGGCTACCATGGAATTTGAAGAAGACATCAAGAATCTAGTGAAGGTATCTCTTTTTGCATCTGTTTCTCTTGGTTATTGTTATTTCGTGGGAAAAAACATCCCGAAAGGGTTTCAGAGACTCTTGATGATCCTTCCTGTTGTTCTTACTTTCTTCTCGATTCCGCTTTTCTTTAATTCAGTTCATCTGATCGGGGCTCTTTCTTTATACATCGCTTGGCTTGCCAATTTCAAACTCCTCCTTTTCGCCTTTGAAAAAGGACCCCTTTCCGCCCCTTCCGTTTCCCTCTCTGTTTTCCTCTCCTTTGCTTGTTTTCCGATCGGAAAGCGCAACGCAGAGAAAAACCCGAGCCAAAAGTCTATTTTCAATTATGGTGTCAAAGCGCTCCTTCTTGCTATTTTCCTCAAGGTTTATCATGATTATGGTGATGATATGAACCGAATGATTGCCTGGATCCTTTTTGCATGCTCGGTGTATTTCTTCTTGGAACTCATACTTGTTGTGAGCTCCATTACAGTGGAGTTGTTACTGGGGGTCAAGCTTGACCCCCAGTTTGATGAGCCTTATCTTTCCACGTCCCTTCAGGATTTCTGGGGCAGGAGGTGGAACGTGATGGTCAACCGGATCCTCTACCCAACCATTTACAATCCGGTTCGTACACTATCAACTAAGGTCATCGGTAGGATGTGGGCCCCCGTACCTGCAGTGTTGACCACATTTGCAGTCTCAGGTCTGATGCACGAACTGATCTTTTATTACTTCACCCGCGATTGGCCAACATGGCATACAATGCTTTTCTTCTGTATACACGGAGTCTCGTTGGTAACGGAGATCATGATCAAGAAATCCGTGAATTTTCGATGGAGTTTACCCCGTCACATAGCCACCCCATTAGTCATGGTGTTTGTTTTGTGGACATCTTATTTATTGTTTTTTCCTGAATTATTGAGATGTAAAATCATCGAACGAGCGTTCGAAGATTACAGGGCCATGGCCAAGATAGCAACCGGTTTTGTGTAGGCTCCATTTTTTTTTGTCGACAGTCGACACCATCATCATGTATATTTTTTTATGTCCAAATTAATTATTATGGTTTACATTTTTACTATTTATTTTATTATTATTATTATTATTATTTAAATGGGAGTCGCACATATAAGTTTGTGGTATTGAGTACTTTCTAGAAAACACGCTTTGGGACCTCCAACTTCAAAGCATCGTCTAGAATTCACCCTTATACTTTATAAATAATGCTAATTAGGCCCTTATCATTCTCCAATAATCCAAGTCCATAATAAATATATTAAATTTTTTTTTATAAAAACCCATTAGCCTTGGTTTAGAGCTTTTATATATTTTCACTGATAAAAATGTATAATTTCTGGCTAAAAAATTAATTACTGTGAACCTACCTTCAAAAACATTAATACGAGGGAGTATCTTTTAGATCACTCAGTGACTAAGGCTAGCAAGACCTGTCTTGTATTTAGACAAAGTCAATCCATCCATTTACCAACCGAAGCTTATTTTCATGTCTTATTAAAATATATCAGTTGACCAAATCTTGTAAAAAGTCATCCAAGTGAAGTGAAAAATAGTTATTAATCATTGAACTAAGGGGGTGTTTGGGATTGCTTATTTTGAAACAACTTGTACTTTTTACAAAAGTTCTTATCAACTTATTATAAGTTAGAATGGTTTTACTTCTTCAAAAACTTCTTATTACCGGTTTGGCACCGGGCCACCGGTATAAGCTGTTTATCTAAACACTTAGAAGTGTTTATTATCAGTACCACATCGGAATAAGTCAATAAGTTGTTTAAGCAATCCCAAACACCCCCTAAAATAAAGTATTTCTAATAGTTTTTTCCAAACGTAAGGGAAAAAAAAGTTGACAGCATATTTTTTTTGTTTCAACAGGGTTCTCTAAAATAGTTAATGTACCTACGCCTGTTCATCGTTTGACATTCATTGGATGTGAGAGAAACCAAAATGATACAACCATCTATTTGGATTTTGTCAATTGATTCAATCTAAGGGATGATTGGATCGATCTGATTACATCTATTGTATATTCTTATTGGATATACATCCAATCAGATTTGATCCAACCAATATTAATTGGATTTGATCATATTGGATCCATCCGACATCCAAGGGGTGATCAGATTGGATCGGATCAAATACATCCAATGTGTTAATTCAATCCAATTTTCCAACAATGCAACAATTTGATTGATCAATTCTAATATTTGTTAAAACCAACACAAGCGAGGCTAAAAAATTCAAAAATCAACACAAAATAAATTTCAATTTAAGAAAATTGAAAACAAATTAACTGGATGATGGTTGGATGGATAACTAGATGGTATCGGATTGGTAATTGGATGTTGGTCTGTTCGGTTTGGTTCAGTCCTGAACTGCATCCAAGAATTGGTTGATCCAAATTGGATGTTGAAAATTTCAATCCAATCGGGTGCATTTATAATTGGATATCCAATAATGGTCGATCGGTTATTATTGGTTCAAATTTATCGGTTGACTTTCTATACACCTCTAAATAAAACATTAAAACAAAATATTAAATAATATACCAAAAATCAATAAATATCATCCCAAAGTAGTTATTAAACATTAATCCAAAATGTTAAATATTACACAGAAAAAATATTTTACATATAATTGCAAATTTACTAGTTAGGATCGTTTCTTGTCTTTGAGAACCGGTGGCCGACCGATGATTAAATGAATTGGGCCTAAAATACTATCAATAAGTTATGACCGTTGGTCCACTTGAGTCTTATACTTGTTCATCTTCTATAAATAAATTCATATATATATATATATATATATATATATATATATATACAGAGAGAGAGAGGGGGGGTTGGTTTCACGTGAAATCAGACTGTTTTCGTGAGACTTGTGATACCATTTTTTTTACACTTGAAACTTCACAGCAAAACGTTGTGAAATAAAAAAAACATGAACCTTCATATCAAAAACACTGTAAAGGTTATCTTCACAATCTTTTGTTGTAAAGTTTCAAGTGTGAAAAAGTGATATCAAGGGTCTCACGAAAACAGATTGGTCTCATGTTATCCCAAGTCTATGTGTGTGTGTGTGTGTATATATATATATATGTATGTATGTGTGTATATATATATATATATGTGTGTGTGTGTATATATATATGTATGTATAGATAGGGTCAAATTTAAAGGAAAATCTAGACAAAATGAGGAACACGTTGATAATCATTCATCTGAACGGTATGTACATATGTATACTGTTAATTTTAAACAATTTATCTGGTATGCACACGTGTATAAAAACCAAAAAAAGAGACCATATATCAATTAAGAAAAACAAGCAAATAAAAAAAGTGACTTCATTTGAAATAAATAAGTTTTATAATCAAGTTTTATGTAATATAAGATCTCAAAGAAAAAAAAAACCATACTAAATTAGAAAAAAATAAAATAAAAAAGAAATGCATTAGTTAACATGGTCAGAAATTACGGTCTCTAGACTTTTCTTGTATCCTTCTATCTTTCACTTTTTTTTATAAGTTATGTTTACAGTAACATGTTAAAATAAGTGTGTGTGTATATATATATAGTTGGGTTTACGTGAGACCAATGGTTTTTCGTGAGACCCGTGAGACCAATTTATGTTCATTGATCAACTTTATAAGTTAATGATCTAATAGTCTAAAGTTGTACGATGACAATTTTGTAATTATTGAGAAGTCTCGTGACAATTTTGTGATTATGAATGTTGAGATTGTAGATCTAATCCAAGGATTGAGAATTGGTCTTATGGATCTCACGAAAAATTCTTTGTCTCACATGATCCCAAGTATGTATATATATATATATATATATATATATATATATATATAAATTTTATAAGGTTTGTAGATTAAAAGACACTTTTTTGTGGGTTCAAAACATCTATAAACGATATTGTTGTTTTGATTAAGTTATAAGATTAAAAAAATCATAAATTTTAAAAGAATTCTCATAAAAAATATTTGTAGAATTTTAACATTTTGTAAAGAGAGAAAGGGGAGTGCATGGCACAAAGACATAGCTTTTTAAGTGTTTATTGTCTTTAAGACACCTATAACACAAAAAAGGCATGACAAAGCCATCTATGTTGCTTTAACTTGATTTGGATTTCTTTAAAATAGTTATATAACAAATAGTTATATATATATATATATATATATATATATTTATTTATTTTGTTTTAGATAGTTACAGTATGTTAATAACAAATTCTTATATATGTATATGTGTATATCTTGAAAATTTATCACATACACACGTATGTGGGTCTCTAAATAGTTAATTAAAAGATAAGATAAAATGTGTGAAATAGTATCATATTTTTACAAATTTCTGTATTATAGTATTCTACTTTCAGTTTTTCTTATTACAATAATATACTTTAAAAATATTTTTTATTAGAGCATCGTACTTTCAAAAATTTACCCGTTATAGTATTGACTAACCTTTTAAATTAAATTTATCCGTTATACCAGGGTTTTTTTGAAGAGATGTTCCACTTTTTTAGTTTTTGACATTACAAAGTAAACCATGAAATTTACGATGAACTCGATGAATGAATGATTTTTTATGAATATTTTTATTCGTGAAATAGTGATCTTTTGTAAACATTTCAATTTTTGATATTATAATTTTTAGTAAACATATATGATTAAATTTACAATGTTTAAATGATAAAAATATTAAAATTAAAAGTATAATGCCGTAATAGAAATTGGTAATGTTATAATAAAATAATTTTGAAAGTACAATGTTATAATGAGAAATATCATGTCAACACTTTCATACATGTGGACAGCCTACGTGGACAATGAGGTGGCAAAAAAATCTGATATAATGAGTAAATTTAATTTAAAATATTACCCAATGTTATAATGGGTAAATTTTGAAAGTACGATACCCTAATAAAAAAAACTTTGAAAGTACATTACTGTAATAAGAAAAACTGAAATTAAAATGTTATAATAAATAAATTTATAAAAATAGATTACTATTTCATACATTTTATCCTAAATTTTTTGTAGTGCGTCTTCTATGCAAAAATAATTTTTAATAGATCAGACGATTTATATATTTTTGGAAAAAAATCATACTTAATGTTTTGTGGATGTTATATTCTTGAAATTTAAAAGTTTTACTGAAGTGTTCTATAATTATTTTGCTGCTTTTACATACAGTATAACTAGTTTGTCATATGAGCTATGTTATTTCTCATATCGAATCTACTTTATCTGAAAATGAGCTTTCATTAACACCATAAAATGTTCCAGCGTTTTATGCCTTGTACATCGAGAGGTTGTGAGATTCTTATAGCACAGAGAGTTTCTTACATGAAAGTGAGAAGTCTATATACAAGAATAATCTGGAAACATGTAAAGTTCGATAACCAAACTTTACAAATTGATGCTTTCTTTTAAATATTCTCAGTTCTTCTAATTTTATTATAAATATCAAGCTCTTATTGTTTTTTAAGCTATTATTACGATTTTTTAGTTTATACAAGTAAAGTATCGGTATTTATACTTAATCACATTAACATCAAAGATACAAATAAAAGAAAAGAGCCAATAACGCTTTTGGTCCCTATGGTTTGTCAAAAACTCTAACAATTGATTATGATTATTCATCTGATATTCATTTTTTTATGGTCATACTCCTTCTCAATAATAAAGTTAACAAAAATATGTTGACTCGGTTAACTCAGGACACGTGTTTTTTTTATAGTTAACAAATATATGATATAATATACTTTTTATATTATATGTATTACATATATATATACACACATACGTTATTGCAAGAAAAATAATCTACCAATCCCTACCTATTTAACATCTTTTTAAATGGGGTTGTTATTGCCACCACCTCACATTTTTCGTACCCCTCTTTTATCATTTTCTTCCTCTCACATTAATACTTACACTTTATACTTTTATAGTTAATTATTTAATTTATGGTACGTTCTTTGTTTTTTCATTTTTTGTTTTA